CAGTGTTTATTTGTCTCTGATTGTTTTGGTTTCGGCCAAAATGGTGGTAAGTCAGGTCGTTAGGGGAGGCTTGTGTCCATCCGACATCCAAACTGTCCAAGATTTCGATGCAGAAGCGGTAAGTGCTTAACGAATTTGTATATACATATATATGTATGTATGCAAACAACGGTCGCCGCGGTTGAACAAACTTTTAGTTTCTTTATATATAAATTACCTTTGTATTAGTGACTTATTTTGGAACATTTTTTTTCTGATATTTGATATTTTTAATAGTAGGGTTGGCAGCCTCAAATAAAAAGTGAAAAATATTTTAAAATTTAACAAAATTTTTTCAATAAACGTATAGAAAGTAGAGCGTAGTTATTTTAAAATTATCATTTTAATTAGTTTTAAGAAAGTATTAGTATTTCAAGTGTGGTTTTTTATATCCTACAGTTGCCAACATATTGATAAAAACAAAACTTGAAAGTTTCGTAGTGAAAATAAAACAGCATTGATTTCAAACCAACAATTTTAATTCTAAAGTTATAAAAGAGTTCATATTTTTTAAGAATTTAACAAAAACACAAAAAATAAAAAAAAAGTGTCATAAGTACTTTGAGATATTGGTTAATAAATATCTAAATAAAATAAAAATAAAACAAAATCCTTTAACCAATATTAGCGATTTTTAAATGTGTTTTCTGTATATTTAACAGAACTTTTCTATAAATTCAATAATAAAATTTGTTATTAAAGACTTAAAATTTTACAACAATCTTTACAGTATTTGGGAAGATGGTATGAGTACTCCAAGTATCCTTTCATTTTTGAGGCTGGCGGTAGGTGTGTACAGGCGGAATATGGTGCTTTAACTAACAATAGCGTTACAGTGCAGAACACCCAAATATCAATTCTGTAAGTATTTTTTGCGTATTAACATATGATTTCACATCAATAAATTAATATTTTTAATATTATAGCAATTTAAGATCTTCTATTGACGGCGTTGCCCGAATTGTTGGACCAGGCAAACTTT